GCCAACTCCTAGTCCTACAGAAAGAGCAGTACAGGGAAGCTGAAATAAAAGCAGAACACAGTAGATAAATGGAGAAAACATTACTGTGGAAATGTTTTTAAAATATATTCACTGTACTATTTTTGTTTTGTTTTGTTTTTAGTACTGGGGATCAAACTCGGGTCCTTGTGCTTGCAAGGCAGGTGGCAGAACCATTGAGCTAAATCCCTGGCCCCACTGTACTATTTAATCAAGTACAAACTTGTGTGTTGCTAAAAATGCTTTAGGTTAAGACTATGATTGAAGGCATGAAAGGTCATCCTAGAGAGAATATGGGTTTCAGGAGAACTAAATAACAATAAGATGTATATTTCCCCTTTTTCACATCCTTTTTTATTTTTATCTCCCATGTAGATAAAATCACATCAAGATGAATAGAGTCAGCCAGTTGGATGTAGTGGAAAGGAAACAGGGATCTTCTTTACAATAAGGTATGCTTTGCTCTAACCAAAGTTCAAGTTTTCCCACATGGAACTTTTTAAACACTCCCCATTGTTATTGTTACCTAAATCATTGCCTGGCTACGCAGAATTGGTTATAGTAACAGGGACAGTTACTCTAAGTCCATACTGAAGCAACTGCCTGATTCACAATACCCAGGGATGGCAATGATACACACATTTTACAGAAAGGGAGATGAGACATGCTCAAGTGACACAGGCACAAAAATTTTTTATCTTTTAAAAGGCTTCCTCCCTAACTATGGCTACTCTACAGTACAGCAGTATTCCTAGTCAACTTTTCACTCTTAAACTCATCAGCTCTCTACTCATTTTAAAACTGCTTAAATTTCGGGCTTCATGTAATCTGTGCTTCATGTTTATTTTTGAACGGTTCTAAAACTAAAACTTACAAATTTAAATCTGTTGGGTATCCTGGGATACAGTATGTGTGAAGTCATGACAAAACAAAGTTGAAATATGAGCTACTGGTTATAGTCCAGGCATCTGATGATGATAAATTCAAACTATAAAAAATCTACAACAAAACTCTTTTATTTCAACTCATAGAGGAGTAATATATACTTTACTTCTGCTGTATCAACATTTGTGGGAATTCTTGCTAATGAGTAAATGAAAATGAAGCCAAATTCTCATTGAATTTCATTTTAATATATTAGAATTTTCCCTCATAGCTATCATCTTAGAAGAAAATTATTCATTATTTTGACTTTTTATGAAAACCAGGAATGGGGCCGGGGATTTAGCTCAGTGGTTCCAGCGCCTGCCTTGCAAGCGCAAGGTCCCAAGTTCGATCCCTGGTACCAAAAAGAAAACCAGGAATGTACTTGGCATATTACACATTTAATAACTATTCTGTTTATGTAAAAGGTCTTTCAATAATTAAAAGAATGAGGCCAGAAGCCAGTACACTGACATATGCCTGTAATCTCAACTACTGAGGAGGACAAGGCAGGAGGATTGCAAGTCTGACGTTAACCTAAGCAATTTAGCAAAACCCTGTCTCAAAATAAAATTTAAAAAGAGAGAGATAAAGTTCAGTGGCTGAGCACTTGCACAGCATGCTCAAAGACCTGGGTTTGATCCCAAGCACCAGGAAAGAAAATTACAAAACAAAACATTATAGGGCTGGAGATTTAGCTCAGTGGTTTCGCCCGCCTGCTGTGTAAGCACAAGGACAGGAGTTCAATCCCTGGTACCAAAAAACAAAAACAAAACATTATAAAGTTAAGTGCCAGAATATGGAAGCAATTAGAATATATAGTGATTTCCAAAGGGACAAAAATAATATTCTTTAAATGACAAAATACTCTTTAGTGGTCTGTCTAAAGTCTTGCTTTATTTTCTTTTTCTTTTGTTTTTCTTTTGGCACAGGGTCTTGCTTTGTAGTTCAGGCCGGCCCTGAACTCACTATGTAGCCCAGGCTGGTTTCAAACTTGCGGTGATCCTCCTGCCTTCCTCAGTGCTGGGATTACAGGTGTGCGCCACCACATCTGGCTTAGTTTAGACTTCTTTAAAAGCAAGGGATCGGTGTGGAAGGTATGAGGAAAGTGAAGTAGGATGTGGGAAGCTAACTAAAGGGGAGCTGATTACCACTGTGGACAATCAGGGCTCAATTACCCTTGGACTACCTGAGAAATCATAGTTTGTGTATCAGAATTCATCATTTAACACACTGAAGAGGAAATACAATATGTACATCACATGCATCAAATTCACTTATGTTTTATATACACCTTTTACACACAGTCTGAAGGTAATTTCATACAATATTTGTAGTGCATCTACATTTTGATTATGAGGCACAGGTCAACTGTGGAATTTTCCATTTATAACATCACATTCGCACTCAAAAAAAGATTTGATTTGGAGCATTTTGGATTACAGATTTTAGATTAAGGATCCTTATCCTGTAATGGCTCTTATATTTACTTATAAAGTTACTGTTACTGGTATTTAATATTTTATATTTTTTTATGTAACTTCAAGTTACTGTCCAGTATCTTTTTACTTCAACCTAAAGCACTCTTTTTAGCTTTTCATGTAAGTCATATCAATGAAGAACAAACTACCTAAGCTTCTGTTTATCTGGAAATACTGTAATTTCTCCTTCTGGTACTCTTACTATGTGTGTGCTACTATACTGCATGGCATCCTACCCTCAGGGATGGTTTCTGTCATATTTTTTTTGTTGTTTCTATTCTATTATTGGTTAAATGTTCTTGTTTGTTGATATTTTGTTTAATGTCTTATTAAAAACTGGATATTCTGAATATTATACTGTGTATTTTATTAAAAACTGGCATTTTGATATTAACCTACTCTGTGGGGTTTGGTGTTGCTGCTTGTTGAAGACTGCAGTCATATGTGTTTTGTTTTATTTTGATTTGTTGGTACTGGGAATTAAACTCAGGGCCTTGCACATGCTAGGCAAGTACTCTATCACTGAGCCCTTTTAAAAAGTTTTCTTTTTTTTGGTACCGGGGATTGAACTTGGGACCTTGCGCTTGTGAGACAGGCAGTGGAGCGACTGAGCTAAATCCCTGCCCCCTAAAAGTTTCATTTTTAGTCTCACTAAGTTGCCCAGACTGGCCTCAAACTTGTGATCCTTCTGCCTCAGCCTTGCGAGTAGCTCAGATCACAGGTATGTGCCACTGTGCCTGGCTTAGTGACTTTTCCAAATGATTGTATTCCTTGCTGTGTGTCACCAGCACTGTTCTGTTATCTAAGCAGTCAGCAAGTTAACTGATAAAGATTTCCTTAAATGCTGGCCCCAAAAAGAATGGAAAATGAAACAAAACTTCACTCAGTGTTTGCAGATTGGTCCTGAGCTCAGGTTCAATGTTTAGTCAGGCTATCTATATCTCTGCCTTAACTTGCAAGTCTTTACCAAATATGTGATCTAGAGCATGCATGCTGCTCTCCACATTCCTCAGTTTGTGTGATAACCTTTCATAGCTCTATCCTGTTCTTTCCACCACCTCACAGCCTGTAGAATCCTGCTGGGAACAGGATCTCTAAAACACAAATGTGTCTGGAAGGATGTGGAACAGGCCATTTTTTGCTGGTAATAAGCAAGGTCTCTGGAACCAAAGGGAACACACATCTCTTCTCAAAATTGAAGGTGCTTATGCCAGAGATGGAATTGAAGTCTATTTGCGCAAGAGATGTACTTATGTGTACAAAGCAAAAAATAACACAATGGTTTCCTGGTAGCAAACCAAACAAAACCAGGGTAATATGGGGAAAGGTAATACGGGGAAAGGTAATTCGTGTATAGAAATAGTATTGTGGTTCAAATCCCAAAGCAACCTTCCTGGTAAGGCCACTGGATGCATAACATGCATGATGCTGTACTCCTCAAGGATTTAAACTAAGGAAAGTAAATAAAGTAGACTTGTACTCAAAAAAATAAAAAATTCCTCTAAATATCCTTCTCCTCATGCTCACCCTTCCCAGGCCTATCTGCTGTTCACTGGCCTGGGTGACTACAGGGAGTATACTACATGTCTTTAAATTGTTTTTGGTAGATGACCCATGCAAAGCTACTCAAACCCTAGACAGATGAAGTAAAAGCAAGCTTTTGCACTAGTTAGTGCTAGACAGGTCAAGTTGTACAGCCATAATTTTTGAGAACAAGGTCAGTTCTGCCCAACTCCCTTCCCCACAGTTCTGCCTCCCAAACAGCGAGCCTTATCAGCAATGTAGCTGTTGACCAGGTGGCTGGGAAATAGGGCACAGTAGGCAAAAGTACCAATTGCCAAAATTTAGGAACTTCTTTTTCCATTAAGCACTGCCTTGATTGTATGCTAATTAGATTGCAGAGTTCCAGAAAAAAAAAAAAAAAGGTTCTGGTCTGTTTTTGTCAGCTTAATGGTTGTTTCAGTAGAAGACTGAATCCTGGAGCTCTCTATTCCATCATTTTTCCTTGCAAATACATTGTTAAATTGTTACATTTAACCTGAAGCCTTTTATTTTCTGTCTACAAACCTTGTTTGCTCAAGCTGTTTCCTCTAAGCAAGACATCCTTTCCACAGTTCTTTGCTTACCTAAATTTTATTCAAATGTGGACATATTGTCTAGAAAGCATTGTCCAACTTTCAGATTGCGCTAAATGTATCTTCTCTTTTCTGCCACAGGATTTCTGCATAATATTCCTTTATAAATTCCACATTCTTCAAATTACCTATTACTGTCTTCATCTCCTTCACAAAGAACTAACCTTGCAACAGTCACATGTACACTGCATTACCTTCAAGAACACTCTCCTTACGGTGATGAATTTCACCCACAGGGCTATGATCTCTTGAATCCTGCCCCCTTGCCACACTGGTCAGACCACAGGCTCCTGTTTATACTCCTATGGTCCAGCACAATGCCCAACAGTCAAAAGTGACACAGTTAATATTATTATTGCGTGGACCAATACAGTTAGGCAATACATGGAAAGAAGCAAAGAGGCCTATTAACAGAGTCATATTTTTCACTTTAGTGTCTTACGTTCTGGTTGTTTTTCATTGGGTGTTATGGATCGCACAAAATCTTGGGGAGTCATAAACACTTCTGTTTCACCAGGCTCATTGATTATTTTCAAAGTGGCAAAATATCGGAAGATTTTGTCTGGTGTGGAGTAGGCTCGAATCCTATTTTCATATTCCATCACCTAAAATTAGAAATTTGAAGTGTTACTATATTAAGCAATACTCATACACTCTCATCATCAAACTTATCAATTCTCATATGTTTTTCATGTCATATATTTTTCATTTATATCTTTTTCTATTATTAGATTTTTATACTATAAATAAACTTCAAACATTTTTAAATTTTCTTTCTTGCAATACACCATTTATACCCCAACTGGCACAATGCTGATGTAGCTTTTTTGGTACCGAGGATCGAACTCGCTGCGCTTGTGAGGCAGGCGGCAGCACCGAGCTAAATCCCCAGCCCTAGTACTCCTTTCTTGAAGGATTTTTCTAATTCCTTTTCTCTTCCCTCCCCTCCTCTTCCCTCTCCTCCCCTTCTTTTCCTTCCTTCCTGCCTTCCTTTGCTGGAACTTATAATACTCCTGCCTTGGCCTCCCACAGTGGTAGAATTACAGGCATGAACAACTACACTTGGATTCTAATTTGTTAAGAAATTAAAAGCTAGCAAAATTGAAAAATATCATTAAGAGAATTCAGAAGGTCTCCATAACAAGATACAATGCTATGTAAAAAGAGTAGCCTACTGTTCTTAAATACTACCTTTTAAAAAGGCATTAACTTTATAGTTCTTAGTTCTGTTCAATTTCCTGAATCCTAAAACAGACTCGAGATTTCTTAAGTTTGAATAGTCAGCAGGCGCTCAAAAACAAAGTATATTAAAAAAAAAGTACATTAAATGATGGCACAGAAAAATAAAATTCCCGATCATGGAAACTCAATTACTAATAAGTCTGAAGCAAGACTTCTGACTAAAAAACAAAAACTGCCATAGGGCCGGGGATTTAGCTCAGTGGTTCCGCTGCCTGCCTCACAAGCGCAAGGTCCCAAGTATGATCCCCAGTACCAAAAATAAATAAATAAATAATAAAAAATAAACTGCCAGAAATTCTTTACATACAACGTATGTAGAAAACAGTGGAGTTGGAAAGTACACAAGAAAATGTTTGAACAGCAACAAGTCAGGTATGGCATATATTTAGTAAAAGTATGTCATGTTAATATGATTGCTCAGACCCTTATCTGGTATACAAGTCCCAAGTCTGAGCATGGAATATAAAGTATAATACCAATCACATAATATTTTGGTGAGAATTTCTCTTATACCTGAATTTTATACATTGAGGTAGCTAATAATAAATATATACTATAAATAACTAGCTAGAAAATGTATCATGGCAATCAAACCTAAAAACTCATTGGCCCCATGTTTATAAAGGAATTCACTAATATATTAAAAAATTATTAATGTTTTTAATTTGCCACATTAACATAGAAATTACTGTAACTGCCAGTCTTGGCTAAATGTCACTCTGAGGTCACTGGCAGCAGCTGTTTTACAATAGTCTTATTTCACCACCAGATGTGCTTTTAGCAAGTGAGAAAGGGCTCCCCATTTATAACTACACATGACAAGAATTCAATGCTAACTTCCATTAAAATCTGAACAGATTTCAAAGGAGACATTATCCAAAGATTGAGCATGTGGCAAACACAATAAGGAGCCTTGAGACTGATCTACAAGTATTATATCAAAGGCATTTTGTATTAGACTACGACTATCTGCAGAGTAATATTGGCTATGGAAGAAATATCTTTTTAAGCCACTTGTATTCTGGTACTTGCTCTGAACAGTAACAACCCCCAGCCAGGCATCGTGGTGCATGACTGTAATCCCAGTACTCAGGAGGCTGAAAAAGGAGAATCACTGTGAGTTCGAGGTCAGCCTGGGCTACATAGTACATTCAAGGCCAGCGTGAACTACCTAGTGAGTCCCTGTCTCAAAAACAAAACAACTCACCAGAGAAAAAAGACAGAGATAAGAGACAGCTTGAGATTGGAATGGTAAGGTATACAAACTGTAACTACTTACAAAGGGCTTTGTGAACTAAAAAATTAAGTCAGTCAAACAAAGGTAAAAGGTAACAGGATAGAAGTTAAGGATTTTTAAGACTGAAAGTCAGATTCCTTGATTGTTATGAGTTATTAAATTATGTTGCTAAATATTATTAATTTGATTACAATTTAGGCCATTATATATATATACTTTGCTATAAAGTTAATAAAAACCAGTGGTTTTATGTAGCTATAAAGCTTTATTTTGAAACAACAGGCCAAGGAACATAATAGATTTATGGTACTCCCATACTGGTAGAATTTGGTATATACCTATTACATACTATATATTCACTTTTTTAAAAATTTCATATTATACCTTGAAGATCATTCCATACCTAATGATACGGAGGCTGGCTCCTTTTAAGCAACTAAACTAAATGGAACCTCATCCAAGATTGCAAAGGTTTAAAGCAGAAATAGACTGCTGAAGGATTTAGGGATGTTAAGAGAAAAGATTTATTTATTTTTAAAAATTTCTTTATTTTTTGGTACAGGGATGGAACTCAGGACCTTAAGCTTGCGAGGCAGGAGCCAGAACCATGGAGCTAAATCCCTGGCCTGAGAAAAGATTTATTAAGAATTAACATAGTTCATTTACCAAACTTTCTTAGAGATCATTAATTATGTTAAGACACTTGTCTTCAATAAAATTGTTAAACTTAAATGGATTAAATCCGGGCATTATTTTTCCTAAGTGAACTGCACCAATGAGTAGCCAAGTAGTATTTGTAACCAAAAGTAGCAAATGAAGAATAATATCTCTTTATAAAATATTTCAATTAATAAATTAAAGGGCTGGGGATTTAGCTCGGTGGTTCCGTTGTCTGCCTCTCAAGTGCAAGGTCCCGAGTTTGATCCCTGGTACCAAAAATTAAATAAATAAATAAATAAAAATTTTATAATATTCAAATATCAACATTTTAAACAACCACAATGAATTAACAGATCTAGGCACTGAACATCCATAGTTGCTTACATGACAAATGGAAAAGTAACTAGACACTAGGTGTTTCTTGATAAAAAGAAAATATTACATCTAGTCTTACTGCAGGGATCAAACCTGGGTCTACTTGAGCCTCAAAATTCAGTTGCCAATATTCAGGTAATATAAACAACAGAGGAACATACTGATTGGCACTGAGAATAATCATCAGTAAAATCCACACCACAGAAAACTTTTAAAGGTTAAATGGCCTGGATTCTGTCACCTATACAGTAAGAGGATTAAAAGACATATCATCTGGACCGGGGATTTAGCTCAGTGGTTCCGCCACCTGCCTCGCCAAGCGCAAGGTTCTGAGTTTGATCCCTGGTACCAAAAAAAAAAAAAGAGCAAAAGACATATCATCAGGCTGGAGAGTACAGCTCAATGGCAGAGTGCATGTGTAGCATGCGTGAGGCCCTGGGTTTAATGCCCACACCAACCAAAAGAAAATAAAACAATAAATCAAAGCAGGCAGCATTAAGATACAGATGTCTAGGGATGGACATTTGGGTGGAAAAGGTAAGGGAGAACTCTCTCTCCTCCAGCCTCCCACGTGTTGAAAGGAAAGATGGTCAAGGTGAAGAAAGTGGTTTCCTTGCCAGCCTTGCTGTTATAAGGAAGCTAGAGACCACCCTGATAAATCTCTTGTTTGAGAAAAGGCCTAATAATTTTGGCATGGAACAGGACATTCAGTCCAAAAGGAACTTCACTGGCTTTGTCAAAAGATTCTACCATATCCATCTGTAGTGGCAAAGGGCTATGTTTAAGGAGCTTAAAGTGCCTCCTGCAATTAGCCAGTTCATTCAGATCATGGACTGTCAAACAGCTACCAGCTTGTCAAGCTGGCCCAAAGTAAGAGAAGAGGTAGAGACTGTTGTCCTGGACTGAGAAGAAAGCTGCCAGCAAAATGGATGTCACCACTAAGAGATTACCCATCCTTCGAATGGGATTAATACTGTCATCACCCTGGTGAAGAACAAGAAAGGCTCAGCTGAGGGCGACTGTGTATGCCATGGATCCTTGTCTTAGTTACTTTTCTCCTTGCTGACACAAAATACCCGACACCCAAAGTTAAAGGAGGAAAGGTTTATTTAGCTCATAGTTTGTAGAGCTTTCAGTCCATAATCAGCTGGCTCCAAGGCAGGGTGGCATCGCAGAGGAGAAACAGTTCATGGCAGGCAGAAGGTAGCAAAAGCAACAAGAGACAACCACTTATATTTATCCAGTCTCCTTAGGGCAGGTAGCACTCACACCCTTAATCCTAGTGCCCTTGAGCCTAGCATTGCACCATGAATCAATTCCAGTATCACATACTCTAGATCCAGCCACCTTTGAAAAAGCCCACCTATGACCTCATGAGGCTTTGGGGGGATATTTAGACACAGGCCATAATGATCCTCTTCACCTGGCTGTCTTCTTGCCTGCCCTGTGGCATGCAAGTGGGGGTTCCCTAATGAATCATCAAAAGGAAGGCCAGGCTGGGATGTCTGGTGCACAGGAAGAACAGTATCACAATCGCCTTTGTCCAGGTTAACTCTGAGCCCAATGGTGCTCTTGCTTAGCTGGTAGAAAGTGTCGGTATCAATTATAAGAGATATGACTAGCTCTGCTGTCACTGGGGAGGCAATGTCCTGGACCCAAAATCCATGCCTCGCATTGCCAAGCTAAAAAGGACAAAGGCTAAAGAACTGACTACTACATTGGGTTAAACATATACTGTTGAGTTTTATATACAAAAAAATCATTAAAAAATCTCCCAAAAAAGGGAAATGATTACTATAAAAATGCAGTATGGGATATCATTTAACCATAAAGATAAATTTGAATAATTTGAAGAAAAATGGATGGACCTTGAAACCGTGACATTAAGTGAAAAAAGCCAGATGAAAAAGATTATGAGATGGTTTCTCTTTTATGAAAAACCCAATATGTAAATAAATGAAAGTATTAAAAAAAGAGATAGTAGGGAATAGAAAGATAGACTTCTTGTAGATGGGGAAGGGGATCAAAGGAAGGTGGGAGAAAGGTAGGGAGGGAGGAGAAGAAAAGAATATTGAAAATGGTGCAATATATGTATGTACCAATTTCTCAAAATGAATATAATTATTATGTACCACAAACATACCAATCAAAATATTTTTAAAATTAAAATTATTTTATGGTTTCCTATATCTATGCTTTATTATAGAGTAAAACATTTTTTTAAAAATTCAGACATTCTATGTGATACTGAATAGCTGAAGCAGAATCATGGATAAAGCTACAGGCAAGATTTTGGCTAATCAGCATGGTGGCAAAGGAATAGACCTGAGGATCAGTGGAATAATTAGAAGATGCAGAAATAACTCCAGCCATACTCAGCCACCTCATCTTTGACAAAGGAGTCAACCACCCTCATTGGAGGAAAGATAGCCTATTTAATAAATGGTGTTGGAAAAACCGGATTTCAATCTGCCAAAGATTAAAACTAGACCCATACCTATCATCATACACTAAACTAAGATCAAAGTGGATTAAAGATCTAAATATTAAGACAGGAACACTAAACTTGCTGGAAGATAAGTTAGGTAGAACTCTTGAAGACACTGGCATAGGAAAAGACTTCATGAACAAAACCTCAGTAGCACTAGAGCTAGCACAAAGAATCAACAACTGGGATCTCATCTTATTAAAAAGTTTCTGCACTGCAAAAAAACCACCAACAGAGCTAACAGACAACCTGCAATATGGGAAAAAATCTTTAGCAGCTGTACCTCAGACAAAGGACTACTATCTAGAATATATAAAGAACTGAAAAAAATCAGATCCCCCAAATTCAAAGACCCAATTCAAAAATGGGCATCTGAAATGAAAAGACAAGTAAAAGCAGCAAACAAATATATGAAAAAATGTTCAACATCACTGGTCATTCGAGAGATGCAGATGAAAACAACACTGAGATTCTACCTCACCCCAGAAAGAATGGCTGCTATCAAGAAATCAACCAGTAACAAATGCTGGCAGGGGTGTGGGGAGAAAGGAATCCTTCTCCATTGCTGGTGGGAGTGCAGACTGGGGCAACCACTGTGGAAATCAGTATGGAGATACCTCAAAGAACTAGGACTAGAGGTCCCATTTGACCCAGCTATTCCCCTGCTGGGTATCTTACCAAAAGAATTAAAAGAATCACACCACAGTGATATCTGTGCACCCATGTTCATAGTGGCACAGTTTGTAATAGCTAAAGCTTGGAAGCAGCCCAAGCGGCCATCAACTGGAAACTGGATAAAGAAAATGTGTTTTTTTAATAAAATGGAGTACTACTCAGCCATAAAGATCTAAAAACTAGAGTCATTTATAGGTAAATGGATGCATATTGAGGCCATACTCTTAAGTGAAATAAATAGGACACACATGTGTAAATACAGAATAGTTTCTCTAGTGTGAGAAACTGAAAGTGTAAATAAGGATTAAAAGGATTAAAACAAATAATTGATAATCTGAAATAGGAAGAAATGGTCCAAAGGGGTAGGGGTGTGGGAGGGTCAGGGGAAAGGAAAGAAGGGAAAGGAAAAGTTAGGAGTCTAGAAATTAAGTAAACTGCCCTGATAATTTTATTTTTTTCTGTGAAGTATGAGACTGGTCATCTGCTAAGGGGAAACCAGGAGAAGAAAATACAAGCAGGTTAAAATAAATGTTAATTTAGTCATTTTAACTCTACTTTGCAAAAAGGAAAATATGTAAATGAAACTGCTAACACAAGGTAAAGTTGAGCTTTCTTTGAATTCACTCAAGGCTAAAGAATAAATAAATGTCTACAGAAAAAAGCTAGGACACTTGATTTACATGTGATATATAACTGTAGTTTAATTCACTTCTATCAGAAATGGACTTAGGAATGAAAAAAGATATATAAATAACTTCATCTAAAATGTACAATCAGAAAGAAGATCTAAATGTCCCAGAGGAACTCTTGCAAATAAATACAATATAGCACACAACAAGGAAATAATTCAAATCAATTTTTTGCAGTATTAGGCTATAGTTTAGCAGATGAAGCCAACTCGTGAATTTCAATCTAAACAAGCTAACATCTAAGATATTCATTTGCTTGTATATTACTCATGTCTGCTGAACTCAAATGTCTAAGAACACAGGCATCATTATAGTGGAAGTGAAACTTTTCTGAGGTAAAGCTGCATACCAGTAGGTTTCATTAATTACATGAAATAGGACAGTCATTTGAAGTTTATTCTATCCTCAAATTTACTTAATTTTCTGAAATTATGTTTCAAGGAGATTTTATTCTCCTAGAAAGCAAGAATCGCTGTAGGCAGTGGAACTAAGAAAGAATATGATAATCCTTGTTACCAACCATACATCTGTTAACCACCCCCTTTAACTTCAAGAGTACCTTTAGGGCTGGGGATTTAGCTCAGTGTGGTTCTGCCACCTGCCTCGCAAGCACAAGGACCTGCTTTCGATCCCCGGTACCAAAAAAAAAAAAAAGAGTACCTTTGACTTACAACATGATGGAAAATGGCAAACAGGCAAATAATTTGGAAGTGAATATGAACCATCTGAAATATATAATAAAAGACACTGAACTGCATTACTGTACTGTAGGATACAGTTCTGATTAATTTATAAGATTTTGTTTCATACTTTTCTGTCTCTGAATCCAGAACGTTTCTTCTTCTTTTCTTCGGGATAAGAGTCAAGACCAGTATCTGCAGCCTTTTTTTCATGGTTACAAACCTCCCCTTCATCTTTATTCTTCCCTTTATCACCAATGTCAGTTTTTAAGTTGTTTACACATGGTGGAGATTCTGCATGAGCCCTAGATATACAAAACAGAAATCTAGATTAAACATGAAAGTTCATCATATTAAACTCTCACAGATGCAGGTTAGCAGGAACAACAGTAATGAAATCCGTCATAATTCTACATGAAGAAATTCCTTAGAAAACTAAAAACAGAAGTACCATACGATCTAGCAATCCCATTTCTGGCAATATTTAAAAGAACTGAAAGTAGGTCGTTAAGAAGTATTTGTATCATAGCAGCACCATTCACAATAGCTAAAATATGGCAGTAACCCAAGTGTCTTTTAGTGGATGAGTGGATAAACAAAATGTGGCATATACATATAACAAAATATTGGCCTTAAAAATGAAGGAAATCTGTTAAATGCTACAAAGATGAATACTGAGGATGGTAAGCTAAGTGAAATAAGCCAGTCACAAAAAGACATACTACTGTCCATGATTCTACTTACATGAGTTACCTGGAGTAGTTTAACTCACAGAAACAGAAAGTAGAATGGCAGTTGCCAGGAGCTCGGGAGACAAGAAATGAGAATTGCTTTTTAATGGTTAAGGAGTTCTAGTTTGGGAAGATGAACAAAGTTTTGGAGATGGATAGAAAGGGGGATGGGGAAGTTGTTTATTTTTTTTTTGATACCGGGGATCAAACTTGGGACCTAGCGCTTGCAAGGCAGGTGCCGGAACCACTGAGCTAAATCCCCAGCCCAGGGGGTTACTTTTTAATGGATATAGCAAGTCATTTTTGTAAAATGAAGTTCTGGCGACCTGTTTCACAATGGTAAGACTATACCTAATGTGATGGAAATATATAATGATTAAGATAGTAAGTTCTATGTTATGTGTTTCCTAACTACAATAAAGTACATAAAGAAGAAATGAGGGCCCAAAAGAATAAAATACAAGTAGTCATATAAAAACTTACACAATCATATATACAAATTCTACATGAAGACAACTGATCTGCTAGTCTTTTCAGGTTCATTCAGTTATCGGCAAGAAAAAATTAAATGTTCAGCAGGAGCCTTTCTTAGCTGATTAGAGATTATAACTAGCAATCTATTCTATGAAGATTTTCTAAACATCTTGAGCCAAGGTTCTGCTTTTATTCCTTCAAACTCCTACACCATTTAGTGTTTGAACTACAACATATAATTTAGTGTTATATATGGTTATTTAAGTTGTCCTAGAATACATCTTGCTCTTCAACTATTAGGTGGAATAGAATAACACTGTTGCTTACAAATAAAAATTTGTCAAGTATCAGCAGCATCGTATGGTTCACCCTAATAACATCATTAAAAGAAGACTAGATAATATATGTATTTTTCATTTAGTCACCCAGTTCCTTACACAAAGAAAGCATGGGGGTGGCTTATTAGGGAATACCAACAGAAGTTATCAACTATGCTGACCAGAAAGGAGGTGGAGAAGAGTATGCTGGGATTAAAGTTCTGCGGTAGGGAAAAATTCTTAACATTTGTTAATGTTTGTTTCACATGACTCTTCAGAGAAGACTCTAATCAACAGTTTTTATTTTATTTGCAAATAATATTTTCTAAACACTAATAAAGGCAAATAATTATTTGAATTTATAAGTAAAAACAATCATTGATTTTTTAAAATGAATAAAGCCTAAAATGAAACACATAGTTAAAAAGCAACAGGAGGGCCGGGGATTTAGCTCAGTGGTTCTGTCACTTGCCTTGCAAGCACAAGGACCCGAGTTTGATCCCTGGTACCAAAAAAAAAAAGCAACAGGAAATATCACATTGACTTAAGCTTCTTTCAAATATGGTTCAAAAGCAATCTTTAGATCTTAGTTTGAATTTCTTTTTAACTTTGACCAAGTGATGCACTGGACCAGATCATTGCTTTATTTCCCTCTAAAGAGCCTCCTATAACTAAAAGAGACTCCTGTAACTAAACTTTGATGGCTGCTAAAGTGGAGATCCAAGCCATTTATCATGAGGTAAGAGACGGCATTCACGCAATCCAAAAGTCAAGAGCTGTTATAGCCACATTAGTTCTAAAGTTAAAATATGAATAAGATCATCTCAATCCTCAAGTTCACAGTCATTAGAAAAAGAAGACAAAGTGATAAAGGAAAAAGTAAAGATAGATCAGAAGGTCAGGAAAAACTTCCTGGAAAGCAGAATTTATGAGCTATCTTCTAAAAAACTTAAAAGTTCTACAAAAGAAAAGCTACATCAATTCAAAATCATCTGGTATAACAGTAATTCTATTATTCACATTGCTTTTATTCAATTAATTAACCAGCCTTCATAATCTCTCTGAAAAACTTACAAGCTAATGTCCAAGATATTATGAATGCTCATGCAATTCTTTCCAAACTAGCTGCTTGCTTATAAGTTTTTTCCCTAAAAATTATTCCTGATAGTTGAAGCCACTGCCATAATGATATCTTAATAAAATATTAAGTATCACAGAACTGATTAAATGAAATAATGTACAAAAAGAGGACTTGCTTCTTGCCACAGTGGAATAACTACAGCAAGTTAAACTTGCTATGGGGGAAAAAATAAAGAAGACTAAACAAAATATACAAAACAATCATTTTTAGATACAACACAATAGAGAAAGCAACTCTGAGAAAAGTGAGGGCTCTAAGAGCCTAAAATTTCTGCCTAGAGACATTTTCCAGACCATTAACAAGAACTCAAGGAAAAATACAGTGATCTTGCTAAGATGAAGTGACAGCAATCCAAGTTTGGAGAAAGTGAGTTGCCTGGATTTCATAAGGCAGAGGGTCCAAGAAGAAGTCATGCAGAAAAAGAATACCAAAAATCTTTATGGAGTGCCCTTGATTCATGACTTAACATTAAGCAGTGCGTCCTTAGAATGAAACTATCCAAAGCAATTATCAAGGAGCAGTAGTCTAAAAAATTCTAGAAGTTACAAGCAGGAAATGTTCTAGTTCTGACAAGAGTAAGGCAACCTCCCTGAATGCCCATGGCATGTAGTAATCCATGTTAGCAGGGCTAAATTTTTTAAGCCCTAGAACAAAGGGTACTTCTAAAGCAAGTTTTGGTAGATCAATAATCAGGTTTGTTCCCCATCTGCTTAACCAAAGAAAAAAATCACACTTGTAAAGAAGAATAACAAAATCCACACACTCAACATTGTTAACATTCAGAGTGTAAAATATCCAATAAAATATTATTAGTCTTTAGCAAAATGGTGGACTATGACTTGAAGCCTTTGTTCCCTCATAGAAACATTGGTTTGATGCAGATAAAAGAACCAAAAGTACTTTTATGAGAATTCCAGAAGCCAGGTAACAAGGTGCACTGCCCTAGGAAAGAATAAACCTGAGAGCAGCTGCATTGAAACAGGTAAGAAGAAAAATTTCACTTCACCTGCATCAACTCTTCCCCTAAGTGGGTACAGCTCAGCACTGAGGGAAACCACTCTCATTAGGAGCTACTTCTTGGGCATGAAGAGTGTGAGGTGTTGCTGGATAGGCTTAGTAGATAAGGGATTGCTGGGGCAGGGGCAAAGACCTTGAAGACAGTGCAATAAAAACTAACAAAGCTGTTGCACAGAGAGGAAAAAGCATGAACAAGATATAAATAAAACCTTGGTGACATGTGAAACAATATCAGATGGTCCAGTATGTGAGGGAATGTAGTTCAAGAAAGTTTGTGCATGGGGGGTACACAAAGATTTCACGAAGAAATAATAGACAAGACATGTTCAAATTTCATGACAACTATAAATTTATAGATCCAAGAAAACCAATAGATCCCAAACAATATAAACACCAAGAAAACCACACCAAAATACATCATAAATTGTTGAAAAGTAGTGATAAAGGAAAGCCATAAAAGTAAGCTAAAGTACAGTACACACAGGAAAACAAAGGTAAGTATTACTACTGGCTTTACAGAGGAAAGCTGAAAATATGATTCAGCAATTCCACTTCTAATTATACACCCAACAGAAGTGAAAGCAGGCACTCAAAAAGTTATTTGTAGAAGACCCCAAAAACTCCACCAAAAAACTTTTAGATTTAATAACCAAATTCAGTAGAATAGATATAAAGTCAATACTCAAAAATCAATAGGCTTCCTGTACACGAATGACAAATTCAGAGAGCAAAACTAAGGAAATAACACCTTTTACAATACCATCCCCAAAAAATGAAATACCAAGGAATCAATCTAATGAAGGAAGTAAAAGACATTTACATAGAAAACTATAATACTGGGCCAGGGATTTAGCTCACTGGTTTCATCGCCTGCTGCACAAGTGCAAGGACCTGAGTTCTATCCCTGGTTGTCAAAAAAAAAAAAAAAAAAGAAAAAGTACGAAAACTATAATACTCTGAAAAAGGAGAATACCAGAAAATGGGCATACTTCCAAAATTGTTATACAGATTTAATGCAATCCCAATCAAAATACCAATAGCATATCACAGAATTAGAGAAGACAATTCTAAAATTCATTTAGAACCAAAAGAGAGCAAAAGCAATTTTAGTCAACAAAAGCAAGGCAGGAGGCATCATAATCCGACTTGAAATTATACTACAAAGCAACTGTGATAAAAACAGGATGGTCCTGTCAAAATACATAAATAAATAAATAAATAAATAAATAAATAAATAAAATAAAAAGACCTGAGGATCAATGGAACAGATTGGAAGACCCAAAAACAACTCCAGACATACTCAACCATCTGTCTTTGACAAAGGAGCCAAATACCTTCACTGGGAGAAAGACAGCTTCTTTAATAAATGGTGCTGGAAAGACTGGCTTTCCACATGCTGAAGATTAAAACTAGACTCATATCTTTCACTACGCACTAAATTAAAATCAAAATGGATCAAAGATCTAAATATTAAAACAAATACTAAATGTGCTGGAAGATAGAATAGGTAGAACTCTTGAAGAACTGATGTAGGCAAAGACTTTATGAACAGAAAACCCTGACTGCACAGGAAATATCATAAAGAATCAACAACTGGGATCTCATATATAACATATAATGTTATC